AAGATCCGATCATGGATCTCCTGTTAGATTTAGCTGATGTGCAACCTACAGAAAATTGTAGTAGCTGGTTGATCATCACTCTCCAGTCTCTTGAGCACCTACCCACAGCTTTTCCTCAGCTTCATGAAGGTCGCTCTTGAAAAGTATTTTAAGAGTTCCAAAGTACTCTGGTCAGCAATCTGAAAGGCTGGGCATCCTTACAACAGACATCAGTTTGCCAAGATGCACTATGTACAGTAGAATGCAATCCTGTGCACTTCTACTCAGAAGAAAGTCAGCAAGGCTTATTCTTGGCATGGTGTATATAGGATTGCAGCCTTGTTTTGGAGCTTTAAAGGTCCATCAAGATAATGCACATTATCTACTCAAAATAGCTCTACCTTCATGGTGAGCTTCACCCACGAATTCAAACTAAGAAAACAGTATTTGCAGACATCCTGTTAGGAGTGATACAACTGTGCTACTATGATGCTTTTGATTACTGGGGACAAGGGACCGCAGTCACCGTTACTTCTGGTAAGACAAAAATCTTCCTTTTACTCATTGCAACTTCATAGATTCACGTAGGCTGCTTTTTTTGCACACATAGACACAAAATTAGCCACAGCATCGCAGAATGGGATGTACTGTAGCATCTTTCTAGGTCCTAAATCAGTGCCTATTTGCTGCTTTCATCGTTGCTATTGTTATGTGTTGGTGAAATATGGCTTAGATGCCACAGAACCCATATTCGGACAAGGGGCATTGATAAATAACTGTCAGAAAAATTACCGCCTGTTCCTCATGTGTCGGGACACAGCTAGATCTGACCAGGGTCTTGAAGAAGAAGCAGCCACTTGCACCTGTGGGTGCATTTTTGCACGTATTCCCGAGGGGAGAGATTTACTGTGTGACTGGGGTGCTTTTGACAGCTGGGGACCAGGCACCCTGGTAACCGTCACATCAGGTAAGCCACTGCACATCAGTTCCACAGAATGTCTTGTTATTTTTTGAGAAGGCTTTGTACAAGTTTTCAGTTGCATGAATTTCATTGCAATTTTCACTGACTGCCACTGGCTTTGAAACTGCATGCTTTTAAGTCACTAAACAAAGGTTGAAATGTTATTTACTCGTATAGTTCTTAAGATCTAGGTTGTTTTCCCAGGTTAGGGGTGTTCATGTTGATCATCAGCTTAACTTTCTGTGTTTCATTGTAATAGAGAGAAGCTCAAACAGTCAAATACGGCCCAGGTTAATATTAAAAATTTGGACTTCTTTAGATAGAAAAGGGAGGAAAGATCCAAGGCATTTTGGAATAATCAGTGCTATGCCATTTATTAGGAAAAGGCTTCATAGTGTTCCCCACTTCTGCCATATATAGACTGAGATCGTAGTTTATGAGTAATAAATACCTGCCCAATATATTGGTGAGGCCAATAGACATTGCAATGGTCTAGAAAGGCTTTAAAATTTCCCACCCAGCTGGAAAATCTTTCAGTGAATTCATTCCTGAAATTTCTTACTTGGTGGCAGTCTTCCTGAAGTTTTTGGAAGCGCTCTGCAGACAATTTTCAGGCCAAATTACTTCCATCTATAATGAAATAAAATATAAAAATTAAAGAGAGATTGTTGCGAAGGTATGTTGGTTCCTAAGTGGTTTTTGTAGAGAGGAAGTACAAAACAACCCTAATGTGCTACCCGTTTGATTATTGGGGCCAAGGAACCATGGTGATCGTAACATCAGGTAAAAAGCTTTTCCTACTCTTACTCACTTATTTTGTAACCTTTTTTTCATTATCTCAGTATATCTGTGTCATATGAAATGCAATTGTTTTGAGACAGTGACAACTAAGGGCTTCTTCCAATGTTTCTTTGTGCAGAACTTCACCAAGACCCACACCCCAAAATTTGTTCAAACATTGCTTAAAATGTATGTCTGTTTCACTGCTGGGACATCTGTTTGGCTAACCATCTTTAAGAGATTTCTTTGAATACTTTTCTCACCAGTGAACTGCACAAACATCTGACCATTTGTAAATGCCTAAGTCTCAGTTAATGCTCAGTTAATTCTGAAAAAACAAGTGGCGGGTCAGAGGACTTTTCATGTTGTCTATTTTTTTTGTGATTGTGAAAAACACTGCTAGTCTTCTACGTAGCTTAGTTTGAAATTAACCATAGGAAAGGTTGAAAACAGAGCTAGAAAATTGTTTTGAAGCCAAAATGTGTGGGTGGGGCATTTCTTCATTAGACCAAAATAGTGTTGCTAAAAGGTCCAAGCAGAATGAAGTTTCTGTGCCAAGTTGCTAGTTAGAACGATCTGTGTGCAACTGGTACTTCGATGTCTGGGGACCTGGAACGCAGCTGATTGTCACTTCAGGTAATATTTTTGTTATCTCTCAAATGTTTGAGGCAGATCACTGCCTCAGCAGATCACTTTCTGCCTGTTCTCTTAAATTCTGGAGAAATAGGTTGCCGTCAACCCCAATTTAGTGTCAAAGGTTCATAAGGAACAGGAGTCAATTGTTTCATTTGTTTTCTTTCGAGAGCTACAATGCTAAATGCTTTTTTAAAAAAAGGAATAGAATTCTTTGTGAGATTCCATAGATAAATGCTGCAGTTCAGAACCTATTCAATGCAAGCTAGAGTATCTGATTCTTGTCAGCAGGGCTGTGACAGAATAGTTTGGAGTCTGGATTACAGCCTATCCTGGGCAAAATGTGAGAATTTCCATTTATTTTTTAGGAGTGCCAATGAATTAAATTATTATAAGCATGTATAATTAATATATAATGGAAAAGATGGAAGCCTAAACCTCACATCTAAACATTCTTCCCTATGGGTAAATTCTCCAAAAGTCATTAGGACTTGTTCACAAATCAGTATATTGAGGGCCGAAACCACTGAGTGTGGGAATACATTTAATCTTGAAAGCCCTCTAATTCCCTGCATAAACCGGGTGGGTCAACTTCTTGTCCATCTTAAGAAAGAGATCTAACCAGTGTGATGACATGAGAGACTGGGGAACAGGGACCCAAGTCACTGTCACTACAGGTAAGAACAAAAAGCCCTTGTTATTTCTGTCTTTAGAAAAGCTGCATGGAATTTTTTTATTCTTCCATTACCAGGGTTGGTTCGTTCTTCTGTTGCTTTTTCTGGGTTCTCTAAGCTCTAGGGAAAATATGTCTCATGCCCGTGGAAAGTCTCACTTCTCTAGTGCCATAGCTTAATTCTATCTACAGTGCAAGCAAAAGTATTTAATCTTGATCTTTTTTTGAGTGCACTCAAGAAGAAATGAAATATAAGCATGACCGCTATCTTAGCTTGATGTAAAAATCCTGTATATTGTTAGTATGCTGATCAGGCTGAACTTGGACCACTTAGTGGATAGCTAATATTCAATGAATTTTTTAGTTATTTTGACACCTGGGGCCCAGGAACCCTCGTCACGGTCTCAGCAGGTAAAGGGGGGAATATACTTTAGCAATTTCTATTTAGGATTTTGCACACCTCTCAGTAGAGAATTATGTGCTGTGTTACTATGCCTACTTCACTCACTGGGGCCAAGGGACCCTAGTGACTGTCACTTCAGGTAAATCATACATATTATTACTTATTTCAATCTGTTTGATTGCAATGTTCATTCTTTAAAAGTTAAGGTTGACCCCAAAGCCATAGATCCTTATACTGGGTTATGCTTTGGATCAAACCTAACTATATTTGTTTAGCTGTAACTAAAAATGTTCCATAGGTCCCAGGAATACAAGATTTTAAAAAAATAAATCATAGTCATAAACTTGGCAAATATTTAAATGAGTCAATAAATCTAGATACACAGATGTCGGAGAGAATGTCAAATACTATTCCATTTAAAGTCTTGGCAACAGGAAAGTATTGTTTAGTTTTTGTTCGCACAGCACTGGCAGGTTAATCAGTGTGATTACTATGCTGCCTTTGATTATTGGGGTCCAGGGACCATGGTGATGGTATCTTCAGGTAAGGATTTTCTATTCTATGTTTCCCTTTGACTTAAGTAGTTATTATATTTTACAATAAGATCTTTACTGGGTTTAAAAAAAATGTCCTAAATGCAAGGTGGAGTAGGAGGTGTTTTCTGTCTCTTTATGGCAAGAGAAAATTCAGTTTCAATTAAAACAGAAGGGAAATATAGTTGTGTAAATAAATATAATATATAATGGGAGGACAACATAGGAGATGTGACCTCTGGCACCTTGAGCTTTGAGATCAGTAGGTTTTTAGTCACTCAAGGCAGGAATTAGTATCACTGTGACTACTATGCTTTTGACATATGGGGACAAGGTACCCTGGTTACAGTGAGCAGTGGTAAGTTAAATTCAATATTTTCCTTCTGTCTAGTTGTGTGTGATTTTTCTATCTTTTTTCAAAAGTGACTGTTGGGTATAAAAACAGCCTGGTACCTCAAACTGACTGCCTTTCTCAACCTAGTTATGCCGGAATAATCTCTTTAAACCAAAATAGATATCTTAATTATTCATCAGTCCAGCTCATGACCCAAACTAAGTTAATAACAAAACAGGGGCTTCAGAGAAATGCCTTCTAAAACTTAGAAATGTATGTGTTTAAATTCCACAACCTTTTCTTTAAAACATCTTATGCTGGATGGATAACTACAGTAGTTTCGCATAACGAAAACAACAGAGAGTCCTCTGCAGGCTTAGAAATGAAAATTTATGGTGGCAAAAGCCACAAAGTCTAAAAAAGCTTTTGCGACTACAAAGCTTTCCTCTCTTTACAGTGCTGAGAAGCTCTTTGTTGTTTTTCTTAAAGTATTCAGTTGTCTTGAACAATCCAGATTTAATTATGTTCTGCATCTTAAGCCAATTAAAAACCCCCATATTTATATTGAGTGTGCATTAAAACTATCATTTAAGGGATAGTTTTGCGGGTTGCAAAGAACAGAAGCATTCCATATTAGGTTTTTGTGCATGGGATAGAAAGAGTTGGGGCACTGTGACTACTTTGACTACTGGGGACAAGGGACCATGGTCTATGTCACTTCAGGTATGATTTTAATTCATTTTCTCACCTGTATTCCTTAAATGCAGAGTTTGTTCCTATTTTTTAAGTGATGTCCTTGAAATGTTAGTCATTCCCGTTCTTTATGTTTTTGAAACTCAAGTGTTCCTGTTGTGGGGCATGTTCTGGGAATTGAGGGAGTCTTACAGGACTCCAGGGAAATCCAATTCAGTTTAATGAGACCGTTCCAGAGAAATAAGAATGTCTGGTCAAGTTCTGGAACGGATGGACCCTTGGTCCAGTCTGGAAATATAATTCTTCTTTTCTTATATAAACTGCTATCTCAAACTCGCTTACTTAGAAAATATACCTTTCATTTAAATGTGTGGAATTTACTTCCAATATGTGTGTTTAGGATTGAGATTTAAAGTAGGCTTAGACTTTTTTCCCCCTACCCAATCTTATACCGCAAAGTAAATCTTACAGGCTTGTCCTATGCATGTTTACTTGGATGTAAGTGCCACAGAATTCTATGTGTCTTACTACCAAGTAAGTGTACATAGAGGTGCATACCCATTTGGAGTAATTGAGTAGACAAGATTATTCAGCAATTCAAAAACAGTCGATCGATCAATGAAAGTTTTTGCAGCCTCTCCCCATAAACATATTCCAATGTGACAACTGGTTTGATCACTGGGGACCAGGCACCTTCGTCACTGTTACAACAGGTAAAAATATTTATTTCTCTCATGTACTTCTTTGCAATGATCTTCCTTGTAAATACTGATTGCCTAAGGCAACTTTCTTTGGATTTACTGAGGTCTATTTCAGTGAGAATTTAATACTTTGTCTCCCATATAGCTTGTAAACCAAAAACCAAAATTACTCTGCCACAGTCTTTTCTCCATCCCTACAATTATATTTTTACGCTTTCCCTGAAAATGTTTTAATATGTTCGCTACACAATTGCAATAGTCTAGAAAGGTTGCGCTTGCAAAAATACTGCGGAATATATGAGAAGAAATTTTGTTAGAATCAGAATCTGTTAGACTCCTTCTAAGAGATTACCGAAGAACTAAGCTGAAGGGACAGTTTGTTAAATACAGTATCTCCAGACAATTGTGTTAGTGTGTATACTACGGATTAGGCTACTGGGGACCTGGGACCTTTGTCGCCGTTAGTTCAGGTAAATCAATATTTTTTCTAATTCAGAACTAATTTCATTCATAACTGAGCAGATGGGATTTCTCTTTGGGTTGCTTGGTTTTGTCAATCTCCAGTGCATTTTGAAAGCCTTAAAGGAACTTAAAAGCTGCAATTATATGTGTCATATAGATTTAAGATGGGGGGGGATATTTGTGCCTTGGTAGTGTCTAATTCTATTCCTTAGTGGATCAAAAGTTTAAATGGACAAATAGAACTGCATTCTTATAACAAAAGCATAATTTAGAAATCTGTCTATCCACTCTTTCTCAGTAGTTCCCTCCCGTTTGTTTATTCTTTAATTTGTTCATTTTTTTCTGTCTACCCATCAGTAGTTCAGGATTCATCCCATCTTATTATTTTCTGTCTATCTATCTTTCAGTCAAGCATAATACTAGGTTGCAGTTATAGACAAAGTCCTGTGACACTTTAAAGAGTAAATAAGTGTTGTGGAATGAATTTCAGAGGGAAAATCCTACTTTGCCAGATCAATAAAGTCCTTGTGTGCATCAGGTGAAGTAGTTTCTCTCCTAAAATTCACTTCACAACAAACTTAAGACATCTTTAATATGCCACTGTTATTTCTTTATCTACCTCCCTTTAGTCTCTCTAAATTAAACTGTTACCAACCTGTGGGTTCTGCTTAGCTTTCCTCAGTGGTGAGGGCAAGGTACTTTTAACATGCTTAGAGACTTACTAGTCTTTTGTTTGTTTGTTTGTTTGTTTGTTTGTTTGTTTGTTTAACTAATTCTGAGGCTGAATTCTGCAATTGAATTTATGTTTCTTTGGCTCCCGGCTCAGATTAAGCCTTTGAGCAAATTGCATCTTACTCCTGATGCTCATGCACTGTGAAATTAATGGGAGTGCTAATTAATATGCATCAGAATCTAAAATAATTAGCACAATCAAAAAAAGATTTTGAAGGGTTGCATCTATTCTTTTCTTTTTTTGTGACAAGAAAATGGCCGATTACTAAACAGGAACGTTGGGGGGGGGGGAGCAGATTAAGACAACAGGTGGCTAAAGATTCGTTTCTCTGTTTTGATTTATTTTAAGCCCTTGTGTTCCATTTCATGGAGTTTCTAGCACCCACAGTGGTTTCACATGGTGGAAAATAGCCTTGAATGTTTCGAAAACAACAGAATAACACCTGTCTTTGAAAGATCTCTGTTTTCCCCACAAAAAATAACCCAGATTTAGCAATTTTTGGTTTAAAGAAAAAAGATGAATGTCTGTTCCGTAAGCAATTGGTTCTGGACTCTAGAAGTTTGTGAATCTTTTTCGTGTAGAAATCATACATTTAAATGGTAAGGAAAAAATGCTTTATTCCTCTTTTTTCAACATTTTATTTGATTATTATTATTTTACTACAATTTAGAATATGTCAATTATTATTTTTATCTATTTTGAACAAATTTAACATTTATTAACAATTTACATGAAAATATATTGGGATATTTTAATAGTGTTCTCTTCTGTTGCTTATTTTTGTGAAATAATGAGACAGATTTTAAGAGTGAATGAATTTGTGGCAGGAAATTATAATTTTTTGTTGTTTTTTGGTTTTTCTGAGTAACTTTTATGGGTTTTTCTGTTTTAACTGGATTTGTTTTGTCCTATGCAGTCAGGGTTTTGAGATAGTTTATCTCTGTAGAGTATATTTCTGCTTTTGATTGAAACTTCCACCTCTCTTTGTAGTAGTTTTAATTTGATTGATTGATTGATTGATTGATTCAGATAAGTGATAGACTTCACTAGAATTTTGACCGACAAATGGAATTATTTTTTAATTATCAGAGTTTATATCAAGCTAACTCAGGAAAGCTTACAATAACAAACCACTGCTAGACTATTAATTTATTTAACAGTGAATAATCATGTAGGGATTTTCCCACATCTCTAACTGGCATGATTTCTAAATTTGTAATATGAGGATCAATACAAGGCTTTACTTGGGTGTATTTAACAGTAGTTTTCCCAGCTGATTGGGATGTTTGGCATCCCATGCTCAGTGAGGTGGTATCCAACCTTTTACCCAACGTACTACTAGTTCTGGAGTGCCTGGGTGGTCAACTAGACCCACCCAGCATCCTCAGTCAGCAGGCATCAAATCTTTCAGATCCATAGTGGCCCTAGCTGGGGCAGGGCAGCAAGGAGTATCTCTTTGAGGCTCAGTACCTAGCTAGGGAAGAGTTTCAGACTCAGATGCAGCTTTGGGAGCGATGGAGGGAATCGCTCCGGAGATCCCTTAGCTTATCCAAGTTGGATAAGCTACTGAGCTGGAATGCATGCAAGCCTTTCAGATCTCTAGCAGCTGTAGCGGGAGGTTGAGGGGCAACCTGAACCTCGCTGAAGCCAAGAGCTCAGCCAGGCAAAGCTGGAGGACTCTCTGCTGAGCTGTGGCTTTGGTAGCAAGGCAAGGGGGGTGTTATGGCACCCTCCTAGCTTCTCCAAAGCCAATCGCTGAACTGGGAAGCATACGAGCCTCGCAGAGCTCCAACAGTTTTGATCCCTATAGTAGCTACAGCTTGGGCAGGGAGGGCAACCTAAACCCCAGAACTTAGCTATGGAAGAGCTGGGTAGGCCTGTGACCAGTGGCAGCTTGGGAGACATCGGGGAAAGCACCAGCAGCCCCCTAGCTTCTCTGATGACCACCGCTCAGCTAGGAGCTATGAAATGTTTTCAGAGCTATAGCAGCTACAGCTGGGGCTAGGAGGGCAAGCTAGCTGGTGCCCTTAGCCAGGCACCAGCTGGATGGCTCGGTGCTCAGCTGTGTCTCTGAGAACACTTCAGCAGCCCCCTAGATTATCTGAAGCCCACAAAGCGAGTAGGAGCTAGGAAGCCTTTTCAGAGCTATAGCAGCTAAAGCTAGGGCTGGGACAGCAGCCTTGAGCCCAGTGCACAACCAGGGAAGAGCTGGACAGTACCTCTGAGAATGGTGGGAACGTTCCAGCAAAACCGCTAGCTTCTCTGAAGCCCACCACTCGGCTAGGAGCTAGAAAATGTTTTCAGAGCTACAGTAGCTGCAGTTGAGGCTGGGAGGGCAACCTAAAGCCCACTGTTTAGCCAGGGAAGGGCAGGATAGCTCTGTGCAGAGCTGTAGCTCTTCGGAATGATGGGAAAGGTTCCAGCAGCTCCCTAGCTTCTCTGAAGCCCACAGTTTAGCTAGGAGCTAGGAACCTTTCAGGGCTATAGCAGCTACTGCTGGGGCAGGGAGGGCAACCGAAAGCCCATTGCTTAGCCGGGGCAGGGCTGGGTGTCTCAGTACTGTGCTGCTGCTCTGGAGAATGGTAGGGAAGGTTCCAGCAGCTCCCTCGGTCTTCCACAGCTCAGGTAGGAACTAGGATATCTTTTCAGAGCTATAGCAGCTAATGCTAGGGCTGGGAAAGCAGCCTTAAGCCCAGTGCACAGCCAGGGAAGAGGTGGACGGTACCTCTGAGAATGGTGGGAACGTTCCAGCAAAATTGCTAGCTTCTCTGAAGCCCACCACTTGGCTAGGAGCTAGAAAATGTTTTCAGAGCTAGGGCAGCTACAGCTAGGGCAGGGAGGGCAACCTAAAGCCCACTGCTTAGCCAGGGAAGTGCAGGATAGCTCTGTGCTGAGCTGCAGCTCTTGAGAATGATAGGGAAGGTTCCAGCAGCTCCCTCGGTCATCCACAGCTCAGCTAGGAACTAGGGAACCTTTTCAGAGCTATAGCAGCTAAAGCTAGGGCTGGGACAGCAGCCTTGAGCCCAGTGCACAGCCAGGGAAGAGCTGGGCAGCTCAGTGCTGAGCTGTGCCTCTGAGAATGGTGGGAACGTTCCAACAAAATCCCTAGCTTCTCTGAAGCGCACTGCTTTGCTAGAAGCTAGAAAATGTTTTCAGAGCTAGGGCAGCTACAGCTAGGGCAGGGAGGGCAACCTAAAGCCCACTGCTTAGCCAGGGAAGTGCAGGATAGCTCTGTGCTGAGCTGCAGCTCTTGAGAATGATAGGAAGGTTCCAGCAGCTCCCTAGCTTCTCTGAAGCCCACAGTTTAGCTAGGAGCTAGGAACCTTTCAGGGCTATAGCAGCTACTGCTGGGGCAGAGAGGGCAACCGAAAGCCCACTGCTTAGCCAGGGCAGGGCTGGGTGGCTCAGTACTGTGCTGTTGCTCTTGAGAATGATAGGGAAGGTTCCAGCAGCTCCCTCGGTCATCCACAGCTCAGCTAGGAACTAGGAAACCTTTTCAGAGCTATAGCAGCTAAAGATAGGGCTGGGACAGCAGCCTTGAGCCCAGTGCACAGCCAGGGAAGAGATGGCCGCTCGGTGCTGAGCTGCAGCTCCGAGAATGATGGGAACATTCAAGCAACCTCCCTAGCTTATCTGAAGCGCACCGGTCAGCTAGGAGCTTGTTAATATCTTCAGAGCTATAGCAGCTACAGCTGTGGCAGGGAGGGCAACCTGAAGCCCAGCACTCGGTTGAGGAACAGCTCAATGGCTCTGTGCTCAGCTACGGCTTCCAAAATGGCAAGGAAAGCACCGGCAGTCACTTAGCTTATCTGAAGCCGACCACTTGGCTAGGAGCTAGGAAATATTTTTGGAGCTGTAGCAGCTACAGCTGAGGCTAAAAGGGCAAACTAAAGCCCAGTACTCAGTTGCAAAAGAGCTGGATGGCTTGGTGTTCAACTGTGTCTCTGGGAATGGTGGGCAAAGCAGCAGCAGCAGCACCCACCTATTTTTCTGAAGCCCACTGCCCAGCTAAGAGCTAGGAAATTTTAACGGAGCTACAGCAGCGACAACTGGGGCCACCACTTGGCTAGGGCCGGGCTGGGTGGCTCAGGACTCTGCTGGGACTCTTGAGAATGATAGGGAAGGTTCCAGCAGCTCCCTAGGTCATCCAAAGCTGTAGCAGGGTTGGGGATGTAACTGGAGTCTCTCTGTAGCCCAGTGGTTTGCTGGGTAAGAGCTGGGCAGTTTCGCCCCTCAGCTCTGGCTTTGGAAATGATGGGGGAAGCTCCTGATAGCCCACTAACGTCTCTGAAGCCTAAGACTCATCTGAGTCCTAAGCCTCTCCTGCCTCTGGCAGCTGTAGCTAAGCTGGAGGAGCAGCCAGATTCTCTCTATAGCCAAATGCTCAGCTAGGAGAAAGCTCCATTGTTCCCCTTGGATTTCTGGGCTTGGGAACTATGTGGGAAACTCTCGAGACCCACTGGCTTGCATTGAAGCCCAGCACTGAGCTGGGATCCATGCAAACCATGTCTCAAATCCGTTTCAGTTTTAGACTGAAAGCAGCTGAACCTAGGGCAGGGAGACCAACCAGCCAAAACCTGAAGCCCAGTGATCTGCTGAGAAAGAGCTGGATGGCTCCCATCTTGGCTGCAGTTTTCAGAATGATCGCGGCAGGGGATCTGGCAACCGCCTAGCTCCCTTGACTGCTCCTCTGGGGGACTTGCAAACTTTTCAGATCAATGGCAGCCAGAGATGATGACCAAGGTCTCTCTGAAGCTGAGCACTGAGCTGAGAGAGAGCTGTGTGTTTTCCTGCTGACATACAGCTTTGGAAATAGTGTTAAAAAGCCCCTAGCTTTTTCTTATGCAAGCTTTTCCCATCCATAGCAGCAATAGCAAGGGCAGAGGGAAAAGTGAGAGTCTCTCTGAAGCCGAGGGCTCAACTGGAGGGCTTGGAGGGCTTGCTGCTCAGCTCTGGCTCTGAGAATGATGGGGGAAGCTTTCGGAAGCCCCTTAGGTTGTTGGAAAGAGAACTACATGCAAGCATGGAGATCTATAGCAGTTCTAGCTGAGTTGGAGGAGCACCCAGAGTCTTTCTGAAGCTGAGTGCTCAGCTGAGGAAAAACTGGGTGGCTGATGGGCAAAGCTCCAGCTTCTCTGAAGCTCACCGCTCAGCCCTGAGATAAGAAATATTTTCAGTGCTATAGCAGCTGAAACTGGGACAGAGAGGCAACTGGGCTCTCTCTGAAGCCCAGGGTTTAGCTAGGCAAGAGTTGAGTGGGTTTGCCTTCATTTCTGGCTTTTGTGATGGGGGCAATTTTTGGCATCCCCTAATTTTGTGGAAGCCCAGTGTTGAGCTGTGATGTAGGCAAGCTTCTCAGATTTCCAGCAGCTATAGCTATGGTGCAGGATCAAAATGATGGGGAAAGCACCAGCAGCCCCCTTGCTTCTCCAAAGCCAACCTCTCACCTAGGAGGTGAGTTTTTCAGAGCTATATAAGAGTGTTGGAGATGCAACAGGGATTTCTGCGAAGCTTGATTCTCAGCTAGGAGCCTTGCAAACCTCCAAGATCAGCACTGGCTTGGGGAGGGCTGGCTCCTTCACCCTGTTCTCCCTGAGTGCATATTCTCAGCTGAAAGAATTGCGTGGTTCCCTGTTGAGAGCTGTGTGGCACAAGCTTTGAGAAGACTGGAAAAAGCAACTGTGTCTCCTGCCTAGCCTCCCTGAAGCTTAACTTAACCGGGAGGCAGAAAGCTTGCTAACTCAGAAGCAGATTTGAGACAAGCTGAGGAGAGCAAATAATTTCTCCCAGCTGCTTTAAGAGCCCCATACACGAACCCATGGAAAGAGCCGTGGCTCAAGGGATGGCGCAAATCCTGGAGAGCTGCTGCCAGGCAATGCGGACAGAACTGTGCTAGATGGACCCAATGGTCTGACTTGGTATAATTCAGCCTCCTATGTTCAATAGTGGCTGGGAACTTCAGTTTAGTCCAGGTTTTAGAAAGGCTTTGAGGTAAGCAACTTGTCTCCACCTCGCCCACCTCTGCCTGCCTCCCTAAAACCTGGCACTCCATTTGAAGGTATTCACACAGCTCAGCAGTGTCTTTGAGAAACATGGAAGGAGCCGCTCAGCCTCATCCCCAAGTGATTGCAAGCATCAGGAGCCGGGTGGGGGTCATTTGAGAGGTCATTGAGGGGTCATTGAGAGGTTAGTGGCTCAGCCAGCTTCCTCCTGGCTCTCCCATGCCCAGCTCTGGGTAGGAAGGCACGCAAGTCTCCCCATTCTATACTGCTTAGGATGGCTGTTGGGGAAGGGAAAGGTGCCTCCTTTCCAGTGTCCACAAACCTGCAAATCTCCCAGCCCAACATAGTTTTTGCAACTCCTTTGGCTTGCCAGCGCAAGACTAGCTGGAAAATTATAAGCTTCATAATGTGCAATCAAGACAGCTACTGAACCAGGCATGGATGACCCATGTTGTATCCTGAGCAGCTTCAGACTTGAGATTGCATTAGATACAGTTATTGTATTGGGATGGAGTTCAGGTCTCTCTCATTCAGCATAGCTGTACTCGATTGCATATCACTTGTTTCGTTTGGGCACAGTTGCCGCCATTTCAACAGACCAGAGTAGCTGCACCTTTAACAGCAGTCTGATACGCTGACATCCCTGCTGTGACAAAGGTCACCTGCTGATTTCTGTGCATCAAGTTGCTGCTGAAGGCACAGGAGAAGAGCAGAGCAGTTTTCCTGGTCAGTTGGCAACCATAACTATGTATGTGTTTTAGTCTCACAGATTCTAGTTGCCAAATGAAGAAACAAGTCAGGGTGCCTATGGCTGCTGCTCTGCCCTTCGTTGGTGCAGAGCCAAAAGCTACAAAAACCCATCTGAAATAGTTCCGAGTTTAGCCAGGGAATAATCACTATTTAACCATTGCTTTGTGCTTTATATGGGGGGGGGGTGCTCATTGGTGTCAGAAATATTAACCTGCAACACAGTGCAGATTCCCTTTGATGGTTTAAAAGGAGTCAAGGGCTTACTGCATTAGATATAGCTAAGGAGATTCATGGTGTCAATAAGTGTAGTACAATGAAAGATGTCATATTTCTGTTGAATTAGCTTTCTTTGAAGTGATTGGGTTTCCTTTTACAAAAATCATTTTGATTCTTTTGCTGGTTATGCTGTTCTGGTATGGAAGGGTACTGTATAACATAGCAGTGTTGAACGGTAATCAGAATATGAAATGGCTCGTGATTTTGCAAGAAAGTCTCTGTGCTCCTTGAAATCTCGAAATCTTCATTCCATTTTACCGCGCCTGACATTGCCCACTTTTTTAAAAATGTGACCATTTCAGAGGGTGCATCTGACTCCCTAGAAGCGTTGTAATGAAGCAAATACTGTACAACAGAATAAGCCAGATGTGAACTCCACAGAAAGCAAAATGAACAGCCTCACAATGTTTCTACCCCAGTTGCATTCTCCTCGCTGCCAGCTCATTTCTGCTTAGATTTTATATGCACTTACTTTTATATGCACTTATACGCCCCATTATATTCAGTGGGACTTACCTTTGAGTAGACAGGGATAGGGTTGTGCTTCATGGTTGTTATAAAAATGGTTCCTAGCATGGACCTCTGGATAACAGACATAATGAAACAGCTTTTCTGGTGGTTCTTGCTCCTTCACTGAGAGTAAATAGCCTTTCTGATGGTTATTATCGGGAAGCATGACCAACATTTCTTTTCAGAGCTTTGGCCAGTTGTTATTCATCAATGATGAAAGGGGAATATTAGGCAGCGTGTTTCTCCAGCTGATGCTATTCAGTAACAATGCTGTACATATTTATTCACTTTCCCCAGGTGCTGTATGTTCATTAACTGTGCAATTCTTACAACAGTATTGTTTCCGAAGTGGCCCAGAGTGATGAGGCTAAGGTCACGTATGTCTGGACTGACTAGACTCCGAAGTTCATAGCTCAGGTTCTTAAACACCCTACACTAGCTATAAGTTATAGCTGAGAACTAGGAGAAAGGGAATTCTACTTACAAAGTGAAGGAGGGAGAAGGCTGGGTATATTTCATGCAGAATGGGGTTAAACACAAATACATCCAAAATGTTGATTTTGTGTTGAAAAACACCTCAACAATACAACAATCCATCTAGTAACACACATATACTCATGTTTGATACCCTTGTCTCTCTTTCTCAACAATGCAACGGTTTGCTTCCTTTCAGTTAGTTAACCCCAGCTGAACTTTTAACACCTTCCAAAAACCCTCCATCCTTCTGCTTTTCTTCTCCCTCAGTTCCCTCAGCTGCCCCATCTCTTTTCCCTCTCATTGCTTCTCCTGGGAGCGAGGGCAGTGAAAAGGTCACCATCGGGTGCTTGGCCAAGAATTTCCTTCCTGACTCGGTCACTTTCTCCTGGAACAATAAGAACAATGTCAGTGACAGTACAATCACGTCCAAGAAGTTTCCTTCAGTACTCGGCTCCAGTGGGACTTACACCGCAAGTTCCCAGGCACTTGTCCCATCTGCTGATTGGACAAAGTATGATCCATTTTACTGCAAGGCTGACCACCCTTCTGGAAACGCAGTGATACGAGTGGTCCGTGGCTGCGGTAAGTGAATGTATTTGTCTCGTCTTGTTCAACATATCCAACATAACAACACAGGCCGTCTTCAAAAGATTAGACACAAGTAGTCAGAGGCTGTCTATTGTGGCACATACTTTCAGAGGTGCTGATATGTTTCTAAAAGAGGAGATCAAAGCTGCATCCTCTGTCCTAGCTGAGTAGGATATGCCTCACTTGTAGCATGGGAAATGTGCTTTGCACATGCCCAGCAGTGCACATTCCTTCCATTTGCTCCAATGCTGTGCTGTGACTCTGAAGGCTCAGCCCAGCTTAGCCTTGACTCAAATGAAGCCCTGCTTCCCATTGAGTCAAAAGAATGTGAACATGTTTCTCCAGTATGCATCACAATACAGCTAAAAGACAATCATGTGAACATGTATTCCTAAATACAGCTGAATATACACATATATGTAACTCCAGTCCTTACATATTTACAATTTTTCTGTTGAGAGTGTTGTACCCACCTGCCATAATTCATTCTTTCTTGCAATTCCCCCTCTTTCTCGAGTAGATACGTCAGTCGAAACGCCAACACCTGAGATGTCTGTACGTGCACCACCCATTCAAGCCTTTTTTGGCAGTTACCTGAATGCCACCATCACCTGCAGCGTAGTTAACCTTCCCTCCAGCAAGTACACACTTCAGTGGCTGAAGAAGGGACAGGTACTTGACTCTGGCTTCACCACCACCCAGCCAATCCGAGAGGGCAGTGGTTACAGCATAAAGAGTGAACTCATAGTCACCAAGAGAGACTGGCTCAGCGACATTACCTTCTCTTGTGTGGTGAATGGCAAGGACTTCAATGACACACTCAAGATCAACAAGAACTCTTTTTGTCAAGGTGAGCTTCACTGTTCTTTTATGAGAAATCTGACCATTCAGAATAAGAATAATCTATCTCCAGTCCCAGTTCCACTGCTCAATGCAACCCTATTTAAAAACAAAACAAAAAAAAACCTGTATCCTTCAGCATACACCCAGAATGATTAGGAGGGGAGAAAAACAATAATTTCAATGTTGGGTGAGATCTCAGTTCATCCATATTCTGATATCAATGTATGAAATATTCTCCTCTATTTTAAAGACCCATGTTGATATTGTTCTACAAATGTAAAATCTCCTAGCTCAAATTTGCTATTTAAAAGGGCCGTGCCATAATTCTGAAAGCCCTATCCTGTAGCTTTTCTCAAAAGATTCTCAGCTTTGGTGGGCCCCCAAAGTAATGGACTTCCACACTTGTGGAACACACAAGAGCTCATTTCTACAAGTTCTTTCCTGAAGAACATAGTACACAGGTAGTGAGAGGAAATTCCCAGTTGATCTTAGGGTCAAGCCACACATTATATATAGCCAGTATTCAGCAAAGTTAAGAGAATTTGATTTGGGCATGAGGAAGGAGACTTTGAAGTAAGCTGGGTGTTTAAAGCATTGATTGTCAACAGTGTATGGAACACTGGTGTGTTCTGTTGTCTTAATTACTGTGGAACCAAACCTTGTTCTCACTTATCTCATATCATTCTTCAGGTGACATTTCTTGTAACGAGGATGTCCGTGTGGAAGCAATCCCACCATCCTTCGCTGACATCTTCCAGACCAAGTTAGCCAAGCTGACCTGCAGAATTTCAAACGTACCCCTTGAACAGGATCTTTCGGCACTGAATGTTACCTGGACAAAAGAATCTGACCAAACACTACTGAAGACCGAACTTGGAAAGCCAGAAGATCAGGCTAACGGGCTTGCTTACATTGATGCTACAGCCACCGTGTGCGCCACAGAGTGGGACAGCGATGAAATGTTCAAGTGCAAAGTTAATTTCCCAGGCTTACTTCCTGAACCTATCGACAAAACTTTGAAAAAGTTTAATGGTAGGTACCTGTTTTACTTCATCCCATGGAAAGATTACACATTAGCGTTGTGTGTTTTCACAGATCCCTAGATCTGTCAGGCTCCTCATCCGCCCTCAGAATAGTTGCCACCTGAAGAGAAATTTGGTAGAAAGTCAGCGGCCTTCAAAAAAACTCCTTCAGCATATTCAATAATGCCCTTACTTCAGTAGCTGCTGGAGCCTATGAGCTCCTATTAGGGTATCCCAGTGGACACTTTCCTTACTTATTATTTTGACAGCTGCTTTTGGAACTCTTACTGTTATGAACCATTGAACTAGGCCAACCTGAGTGACTATGACTTGATGAAGGCCACGTAGCGAACTTCAGTCCACGCTCCTCTGCTGTCAGATGGAACCTGTATTCTCACCTTGCTCTAGTGCAAGGTGTCCTACTCTAGTATCAGCAGTGTCAATCTTCTTAGCATTGCCTCCTATACTTTAGGGAGAACCATGTGATCCAACTGTTCAGTAAAAACTAGGTCCATTTCTGGTCCATAAACGTCTGTTGCATCAAAACTAGGACTTGATCCATTTTGCTGCCTCGCCAATCTGACTTGCCCAGTTCCGTTTTTGAAAGGCTTCACTCTGGTTCTTAAAGTGCCCTGTCTCTCTCAAAACAGCTAAGCCTATATATCCGAGAGGCCAAAGGTTAAGTCAGGTCTCATGAAACAAAATGAATTGTGGGTAAAAATGATAAGGAATGCACATTTGATTGTCTCTTCATTCCTTTTCTTCTTTTTTTACCTTCCAGATGGCCCCCAATCTATCCCAGCCGTCTATGTCCTTCCCCCTACCTCAGAAGAACTAGCTCTGCGAGAAACAGCCACCCTCACTTGCCTAGTGAAAGGTTTCTCCCCCCAAGGTATCTTTCTGCAGTGGCTCCACAATGATCAGCCAGTGAATTCTGCAGATTTCTACGTCAGTGAACCCAAAGAAGAGCCCAAGACAGAAGGAAAGTTCTTCGTCTATAGCATATTGTACATCAGTGAAAGTGACTGGAGTCATGGAGACCGTTACACTTGTGTCGTGGGACATGAGGCACTGCCCATGAACAGCACTCAGAAGAGCGTGGACAAGAACACGGGTAAACCAACTGTTGTCAACGTCTCCTTAGTGCTCTCCGATACGGCCACAACTTGCAACTAAACACCATGATAGTTTCTCTCATGCATCCTCCATGCTCCCATTACCACCAGAATCTGTTTCCTCCTTGTGTCTCTTCCTGCTTCATTATTGATTCTTCAGTTGAAAATTGGGGTTTGATTCTAAGGAAAGATGTGTCTCAAATGTTAAAATGTTAACTGACCACATCTTTTGGAAGAAATAAATAGTTTGCAATAAAGTATTGATTTTTTTCAAACAATGAAAGAAAACCTGGCTTCTTGTGGGAAATGTTGATATGACAGTTAATATTAACCTTCAGTTGCGCAAGCTTGTAATGAGACACCTAACTCCCATTTGAATACAATGGGAAATAAAGCTTCTCTGGAAATTCCACCCACAGCAACCATTTTAGCTATTATGTGGATGCTGTAAGCATGAGACTGTCAGAAGTTGAATGAAATGTGAGAGTTTGCACTGCAAGTACTGACATTGCAATCGTACTTCCCCTCCCAAACCCCTGCCACTGACTGCCTTGATCTTTGATCCCCTAGCTTTTTATTCCATCTCTTCATCTCCCTATTAAAATAAACATCCCAACAACTCCTTCTTCTAAATTGTTCTATCCCTACATCTGGGGTGGAAAATAGCAGGTTAAGAAAGTTAGGTGCCACCTATTCTTATATCTAATGACATTGATTTCCCAGCTCCAACATTGTGTAATTTAGAGTCATTCTCAACTCAGCCTCCCCCGGGCATCTTAAAAACAGAAGAAAAACACTCTGTACATGCAGGGGTTGCCCTGTACAACTATTTTTTTAAAAAATGATATAAGCAAGGGGATGCATCATTCACTGGGCGTTCACAAGCAACCACCTATATCCACACTTGATACATGGTGAAGAAGTCACATTTCAGAGAACATTTGAAACACACACGTGCAAGGTATTTGATGAGATCAGTCATTTTAATATTGACATACTGGTGCAAAATAGATGAATATCTGAGGCTACCCATATAATGCACAACATGTTGTGGACTTAAGTTCAGTCGGTTTGCGGAAGCCGATTCAGTTTATCTTGATTTTTGACTGAGAATTTAAAACAAAAGGCTGAAGGCAATAGCAAAACATGTACATATAAATAATCATGTGACTGGGTGATAGCAAGGCATCGCTTCCATTTGGGTTCCCCACAGTACAAGTTTATCAAGTAGCAAATAGCCAATACCTTACATCAATGATGATAATGATCGCAACCACCACCACCAAGGTAGTCTCCCACATGTCAATGGATGACATTGAGGGGTTCTCTTGAAGACACTTGGGTGCATATCTAGCAACAAAGTTCCACAGTTAATCTATAACTTTAGAAACAGAGCATTAAATAAAAAGTTCATAAATCACTTAATTCATCAAGACTCTTGCTGATGAAAGAATCTAGAACTCTTGTGACATAAATAGTAATCTCATCCATTACTACAAAGTAGTAACATTTTCGTAATCATTAGTTTTTGAGGGAGAAAGCTACGTTGAAACTGTTGACACAGATATGCATCTGTGGACGACAATCTCTTTGGCCAGTTCACATCTTCCGCCACCAATATGGAGAGCAGCAATCACTTACAGGATCAAATAAATGATGGTACGGACGCAGAAGTGCTGCTTCTCTTGAACCTCTGCATCCTATTCTAAAAGCATCCCTCCCATACTGATGGCCTTTGGGCGGCAATTACACCTCATTTAGATTAAGGACCCTGGAAGCATCCTCTGCCGTTGATTTTCGGCCAGCAGGAGCTAGGGGGAGAATGAGGACAGAAACAAGTTGTCCATTTGAAGGAATAAGTCATCCTTACACTATATATTCTTCCTTCTCTCTCAAACCCACGGAGAGGAACGTTTGGCTATGACAAAGACAAGCACATCTTCAGTTGCCTCATTCATGTTCAATTAGATGAAGACCAACAGGCACCAGGATGCAGAAGTCACCCTTTGCCATCCATACTGTTTCCCATTCCTTCCTAGCAATGGCAAGCTGTGGAATAAGGGTGAGCCAAAATCCCATTCTTGAGCCATTCCACAGCAAGGTGGAGGGTTTTCCACCTTTTGTATTGTTGAGTTGAAACCCAGTTACCACGTTGGGGAGGCTCAATGAATGGGTTATATTTATACTCAATTTTCTTTCATATTTGGTATACGTGGTCACCACTCTCCAATTTTATTTTTTAATTTTATTTTTACCAACAACCAAAACACAAACAGTGAAACCCCCCAGGTGGCTGATACATTGGGTATACATAATCAATGATAACATATTCAAATCAGCTATATGTACAATTCTATATAACTTAACACTCCTCCCTCCACAAGGTTTATTTAACTTTTAACATTTTAATTGCCCCAAGTTGTTCAAACCTGCCCAAATAATTCAATATCTTCTCAAACCAATCCTCCTCCTTCTTACTGACCTTAAACCCTTTCATTTTATGTATCTTCACAGTTAGATATTCTAAGATTATAATATTTTTCTATTTTTCCCCCCGTTGGTTCACTTCTAGCCCTTCTGCATTTTTCCAAGTACTTGCTATAACCTGTCTGGCTGCAATTACCATCAATTTTACCCATTTACATTCCTCTTTTGTTTCTAACTCGGTGCTACTCAGGCTAATAAGAACGATTAATTTAGATATTTCCACCTTCCTACCCACAATTCCCGATATTTCTATACCAATCTGTTTCCAGAATTCATTAACTACAATCCCACCACATATGACTGTACGTTCCCATCACTCCACATTTCCTCCAACAATTCTTACTTCCAGATTTTGTAATATGATATAACCTTACAGGTCTGTAATACCATTTTTATCACCTCTCTCCAATTAACCAAGATTTAGGTGACATATAATCAACCACTGTTTGCATTACATATGTTTGTAACCAGGGGTGAATCCAAAGGAAATCCACAAAATGAAATGATCTTGGCTCTCTCTCTCTCTCTCTCTCTCTCACACACACACACACACACACACGTGGACATTCATGTGTGAATACACATAAAATACGACAAGCTGGTATGGTGGGATGATAGAGCGCTATACTTTAAGCCCAGAAGATCTAAGTTTAGTCCTCAGCCCCAATCTCATTGGGCATCTTTGGGCAAACCACTTTATCTCACATCCTGACTGACCCAGAGTTGTGATAATAAATGATATACCAATTGTAAAGTTCTTTGTAGGCTTAGAACTACTACATGAAATGCTAAAATACTGCTGCCGGGCTGGGACCTCGGGCTAAGCTGTGTGTGTGCCTGGAAGGTGAAAAATAAAATAAAATGCTAAAATAACAATAATCGTAGAAAACATTCCTCTAACAAGTGACACATAAAACTAATGAATGAGACATAAACTCCTGCACAGGGATATCCCAGAATGAGACATCTTCTCTTCCCTTCATTGCAGAGTGGATTTTGCAAAATCAATTCCAAAAATTAGATTGCATCATATTATGGCTCTGTAATAAATAGCTGTATTGTAACAGGAGGTTTTTGCAAGTTGGAATGCAGTCCTTCCAAGGACTTCACAAAAACATCAGGACCAGGAGGAAAATTATTATCAAATTCATGAGGGCTTAACAGGGTTAGTTTGTGACATCTCATTCCCCATTCCTTAGGTAGGTATTGCTATGCAGATCTCATTTTTAAAAAAATCTATGGCTCCAAGAAGCATGAATTCAACTCTTTGGGCATGAGCTCACTTTAGTTGCTTTGCCATTTTGCATGCAATCGCCTGCAACCTTCATTCCCGTGAATTTACATAGATAGATGTAGATCTTTAATTTGCACCCCTCATTCATACCACAAGTGCAGAATTCTGGTGTTCCTGAGGCACCACTAAGCAATAATTTGCCACTTGCTTGAAAATCACTAACTAAAAACAGAACTCTTCTGCCTCCCAAATCATCTCTTTCCCATTTCCCCCTGAGGTCCTCAGCCCTCACCTTGTTTGTGCAACATTCTCTTGCTCTCTGTGTCATTTAGCTGCAATAAGAAATCACCATCCAGAAAGTGCTGACCTCCGTGTATTGTCCAAAGTTTACCTAGATGGGATCGTGGACGTCGATGACGAGGAGTTCCAAAACATCTCATCCATCCTTTCCACTTTCATCATCCTTTTTCTCGTGAGCCTGTTCTACAGTGCCACTGTGACCGTCATAAAGGTAAAAACAAATGGAAGGCAGGGTACTAAAGTGAAACAGGCAATAGCCATTCTCTTAAACCAAGTGGAACTGGGAGGGCAAGAGGGCCAGTGGGCTTCACAAGAGCAGGCCAGAACAAGCTCCAAGGACAGGCGCCATTTTGTGAAACCATTCGGCAAGTCAAACTTCAGTCAGTAGCTGGTGCTCACTTGTTCTCTACTTTGTTGCCTGTCTACTTCCCTCTCCGTTCTCTTCCACCATGGCTTCTCTCCCAACCTTCATTCCTCAGCTGCTCTTTGCCACTTCATCTCAGCTTCTTCCCCATCCATTCCTCTACCCACTCCCACTGTTGCTCTTTCCTCTCACCCTTTATTTCATGAGCCCAGAATTCTCTGACATCATTGGGGTTGGGGGTAGTCCACATTACGCAGGATGAGAGGCTGCAAAAGGATAGGTCCTTGCATGATGCACTTCTTCAGTAGCGAAATTAGTTCTTCTTTCCCAATTCCAGGTGAAATAGCAGCATGAAGGGTCTTCTGGCAACGGACAGTGACTTCTCTATTTACCAGCAACATAATAAAGGACTTGACTTCTTCGTCCACTTTTGGAGAAGAAGGAAGGATGCAAGCCTTTCCGTCTTGCTTTGCATCATGACCTCAGGATACTCATTGGCTTGAACTAGATTTAGACCCACTGTTTACATTTTAGAGCTATGGTGCAATTTTGCTTCACTTTTCTGAGTGTGTGTGTGTGTGTGTTTTCCAGCATCTCTTTGGTAGTCATGTTTTATTTCAGCTATAGTCGAAAGCCTTAATGTGAATATTGCACTTTTAACTTTCAACAGACAAGGAATCATTGCACAATATGTACCGACTAGAATGTTTCTCATTTATATCATGATTGCTATGTAATACTGCAATAAAGATATATTCTTCACTGACACAGCATCTTGCTTGTAAATTATTACTGTTGCTGTAGTTGCTACCTATAATTATGATGTAATTATGATGGAATCCTAAGACACTATTTCAACCAGAGGCAGTAAGGGATAGTTTATTGATGAAATTATTTTGAAAGAGCTAACTAGATTTCAATATGGCAGGTGTGCTTCCCGCATTAGATATTGGAAGGTTGTTAGTGCTCTACTTTAGAGGGAGACTCCTTAGTCACTATGAAACTATGTTTAGGGTAGAAAGCAATAGAATGTGGAGATGCTGTTGAAAGGCAAAGGAAACGAGAAATGGTAGACCTTGCAGGGTGGGAAGCCAAAGGACCTTTTTGTCATCTTAGCCACTCTTGGGGATGGCTTTTTTTTTAATTTGATGAGGGTTCCATTTTGAATAGAGGAGCCATGAAAGTGAAGTTGTAGGTCTGTGTGGTGGGCCTGTCAGTCATGGGCTGACAAGTTATGTTGACCCAGTCCCCATCTTGCAGTACGTAAGGAGCCGATTCCTAGAGGTGGTTAGAAGAGTTTGGATTTGAGTTTGGAAGGAAGAGACAGAGGAAAGGAATGAAGGGAAGAGGAAAGAGAGTGGGTGAGATGAATCTAATTGTTCTTCTTGGGACATCTTGCTGGTGAGGGTGTGGAAGAAGAAGAAGAGCTTGGATTTGATATCCCGCTTTATCACTACCCAAAGGAGTCTCAAAGCGGCTAACATTCTCCTTTCCCTTCCTCCCCCACAACAAACACTCTGTGAGGTGAGTGGGGCTGAGAGACTTCAGAGAAGTGTGACTATCCCAAGGTCACCCAGCAGCTGCATGTGGAGGAGCGGAGACGTGAACCCGGTTCACCAGATTACGAGTCTACCGCTCTTAATCACTACACCACACTGGCTCTCACTACACTATAGCTCATTATATAGCCAGAGTTACTTTTGAGGGGCAGCCAGTGCTTTTTTCTTAAAAAATGTTTAGGGGTACTCTCGTTTTCCTACTCATATTGAAATACTGCCCCTCAATGAGGCCAAACTTAGATTCACAAAATGTTTAGGGGTATGCGTACCAAGTCTGTAAAGCTGGGTTGTGGGGCCTTGAAACAGCTGCTATGGGTTTGTGCAGTCCTCTTGAATTGCATGGCCTTCCCTTTAGGAGAAGGGATTTTTGCGACATAAAGCATGTGACATCTGTGGGACAAAGGGATGCGTCCAGTTTTCTTCCTGCCAAAATTCAGTCCACAGTCACACTCTATAAATAATCTTAATTATTTATTTAAATAGTAGCTTTGATGTGGGCTTCCTAAAATCTGTGGGGGTCCTCAGAGACTCATCAGAGGGGTTGTAATCAGAAGACCGATAATAGTGCGCATACTCTCCTTAAATGCAGTTTATCTGGAATGGGTAGAAGCAGAGAACTAGTGCATGTTTTCTGGAGTACAGGTGGGTGGATATTAAGCTTGTGGGATCTACCTTATTATCACTAGGACCCTGAGATTCACTAACCAGAGCATGATGCAAAAGATACAGAATTAAAGAACTCTGAACCAAGGAACTGCTTTTGTATATAAGAACTCAACAGAGGTTGTAGTTCTTCTGCACAAAAATCTACTTTCAGGTTTCTATAAGCGTTTATTTCCTTCAACAATATAATTCGTATTTTGTTGCTGCTATTCTTATGCAGTTGGGAGTCAGAAATCTTTGCCATTCTGCTGCAAGTTGCTCACTGATCTGCCGGTAGATCAAGATTTAGGGTACCTTCTGCCCACTTCTGTTCTAGGGTACGCTCTCAATTCATGCAGGGCAGTAGAATGAACCAACAGACTCTAAGAAACAGAGCGGAATGGCCTAATAGACAGCTCCCCGTGAGTATTAGAAATACAACCCTAAATCCTGGGCCCATTTAATCATGATTTTGGGTACAATATAGATCTGAAAGAGTGGGAAAATTTATGGAAAGTAAATTGGAAATTCATGGCATGTTACATGTTGAGGGAAAACTTTCAAAAAATGTAGTACCGATGGTACCTGACTCCATGGAAGCTCTCCAAAATGTATTAAAAATGTATCTAGTACTTGTTGGAGATGTAAAGAAGGAATCGGTACAATCTTCCATATGTGGTGGCTATGTCAAAAAATTAAAATCTTCTACAGTGGTACCTCGGGTTACATACGCTTCAGGTTACATACGCTTCAGATTACAGACTCCGCTAAGCCAGAAATAGTGCTTCAGGTTAAGAACTTTGCTTCAGGATGAGAACAGAAATCGTGTTCCAGCGGTGCAGCAACAGCGGGAGGTCCTATTAGCTAAAGTGGTGCTTCAGGTTAAGAACAGTTTCAGGTTAAGAATGGACCTCCGGAATGAATTAAGTACTTAACCCGAGGTACCACTGTATATAGAACTCAAAAAAATGCTCAGGGTTTTGTTTGTAAAAAAAACCAGAAGCCTTTTTAATTGGAATTACAGAACCAGCCATTCCTAGGAATGTAAGTGAAATATTTTTATATGCCACTGACACTGCGAGAATTCTAATAGCAACTGATTGTAAAAGTGATAAAATCCCTTCCAGGTCAGAATGGTTACAGAAATAAGCTGAATATGCAGAGCTAGCTAAATTAACCAAAAATATGAAAGACAATTCAAGCAGAGCTAGCTAAATTAACCAAAAATATGAAAGACAATTTATTGCAAAATGGGACGTTTTCAAAGTTTATCTTAAGAACAATTGTGGTAGTATGAACTCGGTCGCTGCCTTTGAATAACGTCTGTAGCTGTATTAAGAAACAAGGACACAGGAGAAATAATACTTTATTGTAAAATGATCGGACAGGTTTATGCAACAAGTTAGTAAATATGAAATTAAGTATGAAGGGGGCAGGAAGTTAGAGGTACTTAAAGAAGATTTATTGTCAAAATATATGAGTTTATTTTCTTTTTGTTAATTTTGTATCTTTGTAACAAATGACGTAAATGTATAGCTTTTTTGTGTTCTGTTGGTGCCTAAGGATAATAATAATTTTAAAAAAAGGAAATACAACCCTAAGTCCTATATTGGAAATGTCTTGTAGTCTTCAACACACTAGAGTTCTGTAGCATTAGGGCATGCCTTTCTGGTAAACTGAGGCAGATATAATTTCTGGAGGATCATAGATTAATCCCATTTCTGTTATGAACTGAGTGGGAAGAGGAGCAATGAAGCTAACGGAGGAAGGTTTTGATGTGCTGCTTGCCACATGGATTTTTGTTCCACCAGGTAATGTTTTGTGTGACCTCTGTAATGCTTAGCTGAAAATCAGGTGAAATCAAGCCGTGTGCTGTGGTTCTGGACAAAAGGAAATATAGTGATATATGAGATGAGGATTGAGGAGAATTACGAGGATGGAAGCGGCATCACATGATGACTGAGAAATGTTGTCTAAATGGGGCAAAATAAGATTTGTGCCAGGAATGCTGTCAGCGGCTCCTAGCTGATTGCCCAAGAAAGTATAAAGACAAGGAAAAGTTTCTTACTGTCCTTTTCTCTTTCAAACATTATAGAGAGAGGCTATAGAACCCAGCCTCTTGGATAATGGCGTTGTCCCAAGTGAAACTCCACCCCATCTCTCCCACTTCCTCATTCATCACTTCAACAGGTGCTACTATATGCCCTCTGTCTTTGAGTTCTTTGCACTCCTACTTTTAAGGCCCGCCGGTTTCTGGGAGATGGAGGGTGCGCAATGCTTTCTAATGACAAGATGTCAGCCAGGTGTTGCTCTGACTCTGACTGCTCGTCCTCTCCCATGATTTCCCAACTTTCCCCCTCATCTGCCTCTGAGCTGTGACCTCCTGCAAACCCTTGTTGTAAATCTATACTGTCTTCCTCTTCCTCCTCCCTGGAAGGGTCAGGATGGGGAGGCGGTCTCCACCATTCCTCCTCTGCCCAGTCCCTGACAGTTAGACTGCTTTGAAAACTATGAATGTGAAAACTTCTCTGTGACTACTAGGAATATTAGGGGGGGAAACCCTATTGGAGACTGTGGGATTTGTAAAAGCTTCTGTAGTGTAAACATAGATTTATTTCTGTCTTTCCGTATTCCCCATTAGCTGCCCTCTCTTTTTGCTTTCCTATAGATTCAAATGACGCTCCTTTGGTGTTCCCCCTGATGCCTTGCTGTGATTCCGACGAAAACAAGGCAGATGTAACCTTCGCCTGCCTCCTTGCTGCAAATATGATAAATTTAGCAACTATTGAGTGGCAACCCAGCAACAGTCAAGCAAAAATGTTCCCAGCAACACAGCAAAAAATAGGCAGCAGATTTTACAGTGCCAGTCAGCTGACAGTCCATTCGGAAGAACTTAAAACAAAATCTTATCAGTGCCTTGTGAACCAGAAGCCAGAAAAGGAGGTACGACCATCAGCAACCATCCACTACAATGGTAAGATGTGGGATGGCAGCGGCGGGTGGGGGGCAAAAGCAGATTGTGGGATCTTAAAAAATGCCACACGCAAACAAAGTCAGCTATTCTTTTGAGCCAATTGTACCCATGTTTTTTAATTCACTTCAGCATTTTTAAAAAAAACAAAACAAAACTGGCCACCACGATCAAAAAAGTCATATTTTTTAAAATCTGAATCTAATACAGATTATAAAACAAAGTTGGAAATGTGAAGTCAACAAAAACTGAAAGCTGCAGAAATAGAATGCACTAATTAGGGAAGGCATGGGAGAAACAGCTTCAACATACAGTGAAAGCATAACAGCGTTAGGGCTTCTGTCATTGCGTGTTGAGGTCCCCAAGACACCCCCCAATAAAACACAATTGACATATAATTTTAGTTTAAGGTTTTTGGCATAATTTTGGCCACAACTTTATTAAAATTACAAGCGATATGAGTGGCTGCTTAGGCATTGGTTGCGAATATCTGACCCCACACGAGGACAGACTGACATTCGTATGCCCACGAAGTCAGAAAGGGGAAAAACATTTTGGGGAGAGAGACGGGACTGGGAACCATGCCTCACCTCTCCCCAAATGCTCCCAGGGGCTCTTGCGTGGCCCTAGCCCCTTGACAGGGGTTCAAACAAAAGCATGGCAAACCCCCGGGTTCCTGTAATGGAAAACCCCTGCAGCAGCAGCATTTTGGAGGCAGGCACACCAACCAATTCCAAAACCAATGGCTAACCGCAACCTTACAAGTTGTGACGATTTGCACCAGCCAATCAGCCAAATGGACAAAATTCCTACCGGGCCCCTGCCCCAAAAGCACATGACCCCATGACAGGCATAGCAAGGTCAAGCGAACAACCTGAAAACAGGGAGGGAAGGTGGTGTTTAAGAGCTATGGTTATCAGTCATGAAATAGCAACATTTAAATCTCCCAAGCAACAGGCAGAACAATGATAATGGTGGCCAAACTCTTTTTTGCCTAGCAACAGTGGGTGTCTTGCTAGCTCCCACCGCAACATGTGCTCTTCATGAAGGAGAACACGCTTTTTCAAGGAAAAGCATTCCAGGGAACTGATTCAACAAGGCTAAAAGCACATCCTTCAGTCACAACATGCTTTATCACATTCTGCCATGTGGGCAACCATGATGTGACAGAAAGCAACCAGCGTTAAGGTGACATTCCAGCCTCCCCAATACATTTCCAGTCAACTTTATAAAATGCTCATGTGAAGCATACAATTGGCATTATTAGCATGGGCATTTGAAAGATGAACCTGCCCCCTTTGAGAGCCGGAGGATGTTTGACATTAAATACAGGGATTATGGTTTTGTGCATCCTTTTTAAAAACGATATAAAAATCAGCTACTGGAGGCTCCAAGAAACAGGTAACCTCTTCCTCCTGGAATGTGATCCAATTGAAAATTGTGCCCCCCTCCCTTCTCCAGCTGCTATTTGGCATGAATTGGAAGCTACCACTGATGTCAATCTTATGTTCCCTCCCATGCGCAGTAGCAGCTTCAGGATGGGGTGATTTTGTCAGGATCACAGTCTGGAGGGAAATGATTAATCTCCTCTCTGTGTACACACCACATGCAAATCCTATTAGCCCACTTTCCCATGCTCCAGCAGCTGCTATTTAATATTTTTAAAAAGATACACACAATATGAAAGAATGCACTCAATGTCGTACATAGTTTCTCCCCAGATTTCCTCTTTTTCTCATGCTGTTTTTGAAAGGAAGGACACTTTTAAAATAGAAACCTAAACCCCAACTCTTGAGGTATGGAGGGCATTGTGTGTTCTGCTGTTGTTTTAAAGCACAGATGAGAACCTATGTTCCTCCAGAGGTTGCTGAATTCTTACCCCCATCATCCTGACCATTGGGCCAGACTGACTGGTGCAGAAAGGAGTCAAACAGCATCTGAAGAACCACTCCACCCCTGTGTTAATACTTTAGGTTATGTTTTACTTGTTAGCGTTTTCATAGTTTGTTTTTCTATCTTGCCTCATCTTATATAGGTTTTCTGTAGGCTTTCTTATACGAATTAATCCAGCAAACATAACAAAAATCTGCTCTCTGCTCTCAGATTGCACTCTACAAGCTCGAAAGCCAATCCAAGTTAACATCTTGACCCCCAGCTGCGGTGAGCAGGCCGCAGAGACCAGCCTAGACCTGGTATGCTTCCTCCGGAGCCTTGGCCCTGGGAAAGCCTATGTGGAATGGCTGAGGAATGGAGAAGTGGAGCAGGGCAGAGTGCAGGTGTCACTGGCAGCGGACCAAGGGAAAAGCAGTAGCTACTCCAGATTTGTCCAACGGAATATCACCAAAGAGAGCTGGGACAGAGGGGACATCTACACATGTAAAGTGGCTCGATCAGTTCGTAGCCCGGACATCATAATGTACAACACCAGCAAGTGCCAGGGTAAGAACTACCAGCTCTAAAGGATAAGGGAATGATGGGTGGGTGGAGGTTATGCATTATTACCAGGGGCTTGCCAGGATGTATGCAACAGAGCTATGTTATAAACAGCTTAAGACCAGGTCACCTAAAAGGGAGAGATTGATTGATTGATTGATTGATTGATTGATTGATTTGTTCATTCATACATACCCCGTCCATCTGGCACCAGCACTTTGAATTGTGCTCAGAAATGTACTGGGAGTTAATGCAGGTCTTTCAGGACTGGTGTTATATGGTCTCAGCGACCATATTGGGGGGAAAAGGTGATGGATATAATTGGCAAAGTAGACAAAGAGAATACAGATAGTTTCTCTCTACAGTCAAATCAATCCCAATAAAATTATACCTATATTTTACAAATGAAAAAAGTAAAAATGGGGAAACATTGTTTTATCCACATTTTACCTCAAAAAAAGGACATACATCCAATATTTGTATATGCAACAGCCCTTTCATATCTACTGATAAGCAAGACCCTCTGTATTTAATGGAGTTCGTTTCCAAGTAACTATGGACAGCTAGTGTTCGTTCTCATTTTGGGTGGGTGTGTTTTTTGCACATTCAAGGATTTTAAAGAATCTTTCCCAATCTCTGTATCTTACCCTCCTCTCCAGCCTGCTATGCTTCACTGCTAAAACCTACTGTCTCCATCATCAAGCCATCCTACAGAGATGTGGTTGAAGGGACAGCCAATGTTACTTGTGCTGTGGTTGGTTTTGGCCTTGAAAACATTGAAGTTACTTGGGATGTGGATGGCAAGCCCAGTACTATGGGTCAGAAGACCATGAGGGGAAAGGATGCCAGTGGAGAACAGGAGATTAAAAACACCCACATGATATCTTTGGAACAATGGAGAAAGGGTACCAGATTCACCTGCAAAGTGGCTGGAGGTTGCTATGAAGAAGTCATCAAACAATTAACAATCAAGAAAGAAACACGTAAGTATGGATGTCTAGGTCTGGCTGCTAGAAGTAAACTCAGCTATCAAGTTCTCCTTCTGCTCTGATTACAAACTTTCTACATTATTACCTTTAAGGGCCAGTAATTGGCTGTGATTCTTCTTGGTGTTTGTGGCCTAACCACATAGTTCTGGTGCCTGCAGTGAGAAATCAGTGAGGCACCCACCTAAGAATAATAATAATAATAATAATAATAATAATAATTTATTTCTTATACCTTGCCCATCTGACTTGGGTTACCTCAGACACTCTGGGTGGCTTCCAACACAATACAGAGGTGAATGGAAACAAAAAACAAACAAACAATACATCAAACATTAAAAGCTTCCCGGAACAAGACCTTCAGATGCCTACGAAAAATCATATAGTTATTTAACATCTGATGGGAGGGCGTTCCACAGGGCAGGCCTGATTCCTGCCTGGTTCCCTGTAATTATAGTTACCTGCCTGGTTCCCTGTAATTATAGTTCTAGCAATGAGGGAACCACCAGAAGGTCCTCAAACCTGGACCTCAGTGTCTGGGCTGAATGATGGGGTGGAGACAATTGCAGTTCAAAAGCATACCAGTGCAAGTAGATAAATAGGTACTGTACCACTGAGGTGGGAAGGTAAACGGCGTTTCCATGCACTCTGGCTTCCGTCATGGTGTTCCGTTGCGCCAGAAGCGGTTTAGTCATGCTGGCCACATGACCCAGAAAGCTGTCTGTGGACAAATACCAGCTCCCTCGGCCTGAAAAGCGAGATGAGCGTCATTCCTCACAGTCAAATTCAACTGGACTTCACCATCCAGGGGGTCCTTTACCTCTACTCCTTCAGGTATACAGGACCAAAGCCATTTAGGACTTTAAAGTTCAACACCAACTCTTTGAATTGTGCTCAGAAACGCACTGGGAGCCAATGCAGATCTTTTAGAACCAGTGTTATATGGTCCCAGTGGCCACTCTCAGTCACCAGTCTAGGAGCTGCATTGTGGATTGTTTTAATTGGTTTATGAGTCTCTCTCACATACACAAACCATGTGCGCGTGTGTGTGTGTGTGTGTAAGAGAGAGAGAGAGAGAGAGAGAGAGAGAGAGAGAGAGAGAAATTGTCCTGAGCAAGTCTGCTAGCACAAATCTAGGCACTTCATTAATAATGATAGTCTCCGTCTTTTGAATTCAGAAACCATGGAGCCCTCCATCACCGTTTCGAAAGCCAACTTTGACGTCTCGCTCCAGAGTACCGTGGCCCTGATTCTTGTCTGCAATGTGAATGGGTTTTCCCCAGAGGAAATTAGCATCTCATGGAAGAAGGACAACAATATCCTGAATGAGACACTGTATGACAACGGACCAGTGACACCAGCTGGGAAGGGGTACACCACTTACAGCATCCTTAAAATTGGCAGAGACGAAGCAGGGGGGAAGGGCGGCAGCTACAGCTGTGTGGTCCACCATTCCTCGTCCAACCAGCCACTCACTAAGAGTGAAAAGGTACCCATTGGTAAGTGAATCTCCCAAGGTGGGTGCTGAGGTTGCAAAGATCGGTCAGGCTCTTTGTATGAATGATAATCTTCTAACACTTTCCTCTCTAGAGAAGGTTGCATTTTTTAGTATGTCACATCATTCTTGGGGGGGGGGGGAACACACATGGTCATAGCTAGGAGATAGACGCACCAAAGCTAAGAAAGGCCTGTTCACAGGAAAAGGTCTTGTTCCTTTCCCTTATCTCTAAATATTGTAAGTTGCTATATTTGTTTAAAAAGCCCTAACAAGTGACTAGCTGGGAGCCTGAAGGGCCCTGCCCTGATTCTATCCACCTGGCTTGGGATGGGGCCTGACAGGCTCCAAAAAGGAGTGCTGCTGCTGCTGCTGCTGCTGCTGCTGGGAGGGCTCTGTTTTTTGTTTGTTTGGGTTTTTTTTTTAAAAAAAAAAGCTTTTATTTTTTATCTATGTCGTTTTAAATTGTGATTGCTATTAATGCTGTATTCTTAGTTTTAGATTTTATGATTTATGTGGAAATTGCTTTCCATTTGGTTGTGTGCTTTTTGATGTGTTTTATTTATTGTTTATGACTTTTCTTATGTTGGTAATTGTGCAAATCTTGTCATGTTGTAAGCCGCCTTGAGCGTTGTTTTAACTATGGAAAGGCGGCATACAAAGAAAATGATGAATGAATGAATGAATGAATGAAAAGTAGGGTATGGTAAAAAGTTTGGGATTCGGTACAAGGGTTCTTCTGCCAATGCAGATTTCACACTGCACGCTAGTGCAACCAGTGTTACATCAGTGTTACACCAGTGCAACGCTACAGTTGGGATGTAGCCACCTATTCAGCAATATAGGAAGAGGCAACTGTGCCTTGATTCAGAGAAGGGTAGATGGAGAACACGGAAGACATAGGATAGAGGAGAATCAACACTGAGCCACTGTGTTCCCTTCAACAGGGCCAAGAGTGCTTGCATGCCCCTAATTTGCAGTGGTTGCAGCTACATATAATAGAATCATTGATTAGAGTTGGAAGGGACCCTGAGGATCATTTAGTCCAAACCCTGCATGCAGGAATATGCAGCTGTCTCTTACATGGATCAAACCTGCGACCTTAGTATTATCAGCACCACATTCTAACCAACTGAGCTATCTGAATATTTCTGTGAGGAGGGGGCAGTGGCAGAGGAAGCCTCTCTGACACCTGGGGTGGTGTGAACTGCCTATAAGGGTGGGGCGAACTGCCCATTGGGAGGGACGGGACGGAAAGCGCAGCGCCCACCAAGAGGGACGGGATGGGGCGTGTGGCACCCATTCCCACCCCCCTCTGTTTTTGCCCGCCTGCCTGCTTCCTGTCCTCTCCCCTGCCTGCTTGCCTGCCTCCTCCAGGCAGCAGCATGGGGCAACGACGCACTGCCCCCGTGACTCCCAACCCAGGGTGTGGGGCGATCACACCCAGACAGAGGGCGCGATCCGGCCCACATGGCCGGGCCAAGAGGCGCGATTCGGCGTGGCGGTCTGGGCCAGGGCACGATCTGGCGCAGCGGCACAGCTGGGGGACACGATCCGGCCCAGCCAGGGATGGCACCTGGGGCGCCCCACCCCCACCTTGCTCCGCCTCTGGGAGGGGGTGCGTGTGTAATGAGGACCAAAGCATAGACTAACAGTGGGATGGTAATCCACTTGGACCAGGGCAAAGGATCGCATACCAAGAGTACACACTCACAGGATGCAACCTAATATACAACAAACTTAAAGTCAGGATGTAACTAAGCCTCGGTAAGATATCTCCTGAAATCTCACTCATGGTGTGAAGCTTAACCCTAAAGCCCGTGCAGGCAGATGTGGTGTGGAGCACTCTCAGCAAAACCTCACGGCATGTTTCCATGCATATTTATTGTACAAATGTTTCTGGTGATGACTTGCATGTGCAAGACGGCTATCAAAAAACACCACAGGCAGAGCATTCTTACCACCTCACCTCACTTCTCTGCTTTTCAATGAGGAGAAGTTTACACATTCACCTGAGAAAAACTGGGCGCATCTGTGGATCAGAGTTCAGGCTTTGGTGAGTCTCTCCAAACTGTTGATACCAGAGGGAATTGTCTTGTCCTCTGAACTCAGCACACGGACAGGATAACCTTTAGGCGTAAGCAGTTGTGAAGACAATATATCCTCATTCAACACAACTCTTAACTTCATTGACCTAAGGACCTCTGCTCTGCACCTACCATTGCTGGGTTCACCCAACTGATTCTTGACCCCCTGCCACACTTTCTGCGCATGCTCAAAATTCAGTTCTGTCAGCTTCTCCACCTATCGCACAACAACACTTCTACTGCCTATGCCAGGAATTCACACAAGGTCCTGTTTGCTGTTCCACTTTGTTTCACTCGTGAAGAATTTCTTCATTTCTTTCGCTTATGCTCCTGAGGACTTCCTTTTTCTTAATACAGGTAAATTTGATGTCTTCCTAACCCACCCTGCAATGCTACTCTTTCCCATTTTATGATGGCTACTTATAACAGAAGTTTCTTCACAGACCAGCTTCAAGCACCTACTGTTGAAATCCTGCAGTCAATAGACCAAGAAAATAAAACCATCACATTGAAGTGCATCGCATCTAACTACAGACCCCCAAATGTGAGCATCGAGTGGAAGGCTGGTCCACAAAACAAGAAAGTAACATTTGTGGAACGAAAGATGGCGGACGGGACATACAGTTCCAGCAAGCAGTTGAAAATGCCCATCTCTCAATGGCAAGAAGTGGAGATCAACACATGCGAGGTGGTGCATGAGGCAACAAATACAAAGGTGGTCAGGAACATCTCGAGAAAAGGTAATGTTGAACAATAAACCACAGAACTAATTGCCAGAATTTCTGGGCTGAATCCCTCAGTTAGACAATGAAAATTAAGCAAGCCACTTAAGTCAGGCCTAGTTAGCCACCCATCATCAGAGCAGCCAATGAGTTTTCTGGAGTTGGATAGAAATTAAGAGACAAAGTTCTTTGGTTTGGGACAGCAGGTCTGATGGCTGAACCATGGACAGAAGCAACAGTGAAAAATTTGAGATACAAAGCTGAATATGGGAAAGGCAAAGCAGGAAGAAAAAGAATATAGATAGGACATACGATTCCCAAATCACTGATGGTTTTATTCCAGCGTCACTAGTGTTATTTTGAAGAATCCAACGCTCACCACAGTCTTACAAAATAGATTTGCCTTTCCCTCTCTTTCTCTTCAGACTGGATTGTGCCGACAGCTCTCTCATTGACTCTCAGCACTGACCCACTCTGTCCCAGCACAGGACTGGGGAACAGTGGTAACATCACTTTAGTCTGCTCCATCTATGGCAACTCCCTAGAGAACATCCAAGTCACCTGGGAGGCCAGTGGGAAGGCTCAAGAGGCCCCCAAGCCTGCAAACCTTCTGAAGAATGCTGGCCAGTTTTATACCAGGAGCAACTTGGTTGTGCCCCTGAAGGAATGGAACACGCTACAGAAGTATACCTGCAAGGCAAGGCAACCTGGTACAAATAGCATCCAGACAAGCAGCATCAGCAAGTGCACAGGTGATTTTCCAAGCCTACTGCAGAATATCTCTCTCTCTCTCTCTCTCTCTCTCTCTCACACACACACACACACACACACACTTTCTCCCTCTCTTGCTCTCCTTAGTCCATTTCACTCCCCAGAGAGAAAATTCACTCATTTGCTCTACTGTCCTGCTCTCCTACATTTTCCCTGGTTCCTGTCAGATCTAAGGCAAACAGACTGCCAGGCAATCAGGTGTCATCAGTAGACAATCCCAGCCTGCACTACAGTAGTGTGTTGGGCATAGAATGTATAAATCACATTTCTGAGGACTTGACTAATAAAGGCCATCTAAGGAGGAAATGATTGGCTTCACCAGATACGGCTGCCATATTTCAAAAAGTGAAAATCCAGAGACAAAAAATGTTGAAGTTTTCTTTTTTAGTTTTGCCCAAAGTTGTTGAGCCTTTTCGCCGAAAACAACACTGTCAACATGTGACCTCTTCCAACTGCAGTATTCTGGCTATGTCTGGGAAATTCCAGGCGTATGGCAACCCTACACCATGGGGAATTTGGTGCAGTTTCCAAATGTGTTGTTGAAAAAGTTGGGACCTCCCTTCACCCCTCAGCTCCTCTTCTCCTCACAGTGCCCCATTTCTCTCTATCTTCCTGCCAAGTGCTTTACTCTGACCATCATAAAAATCCATCTTTGTCTTTTGTTCCCCTCTAGCATGTAAAGGGAGCGTCCCACCTCCCAGTCTCTACCTCCTGAAGCCACCTCTTGAGAAACTACTAACCCAAAGTAAAGCTCTCTTTATTTGCCTTGTTGTGGGATACGAACTGGACCATGCCATGCTCACCTGGATGGTGAATGGCATAAACCACACCAAGAATGCCGAAAAAGCAAACATCACAAGCCACACAAACCTCACCCAGAGCTTACAAAGCCAGTTGACCATCACCAGAGAGGCCTGGGATTCTGGAAATGCAATCCAGTGCCTAATTTCTCATCCCTGCTCATTCTTCCCAGACATGAAGCAGACCATCCAAAAAAACAAAGGTGAGAGAAGATATGGAGGAAATGTGTGATAAGTGAACAACTACTGGTTATGAAAATAGCATCTGATAACTCCAAAGGAAATAGTATTCTGCATACCAATGGATGGATAAAGGAAAATGTATGTGGTGCCTGTCCCTCATCACTCAACCATCAGAGACTAGGCCTCGAATTTATGAGAAAGTAATGGGGCTTCAGATGGACATAGATCTCAAAGTTTAGCATGAAAATTAAATACAGTCTTCAGTATATCAATACAGTGGTACCTTGGTTCTCAAACTTAATCCGTTCCGGAAGTCCGTTCAAAAACCAAAGCATTCAAAAACCAAGGTGCGCTTTCCCATAGAAAGTAATGCCAAGAGGATTAATCCATTCCAGGCTTTCAAAAACAACCCCTAAAACAGCAATTTAACACGAATTTTACTATCTAATGAGACCATTGCTCCATAAAATGAAAGCAATAATCAATGTACTGTACTATAAAATAAATAAAACAGTATTGCAGATGACAAAAATTGAAATTATTTTTTTTCTTATCTGCACTGATGATAGTCATTGTTTGGAGGGGGGGGCTTTTATCCATTTCTGCAGTCACACTATCAATCAATCAGTAGCTGAGCTGGGTTTCACACAGTCACAAAAACAAATTAACCGAAAAAGCCTCAAAAACAGAAACGCTAAATAAATAGCAAAAACAAAATCACCAATTATAAGCTCCAAATATCACTTCAGAACACTGCAGTTACAATGGGGGGACTCAAATTAGCAGCGCAACAGCAAAACGGAAAGGGAAGACTTGAATTACAATGGGGGATGCAAATTAGCAGCGGAACAGTAAAAACGGAAGCTCAGGACTCAAAACAGAGCATGTTCAGCTTCCGAAGCAAAGTTCACAAACCAGAACACCTATTTATGGGTTTGCAGCATTCGATTTCCAAGTTGTTCATTGTTGCAATTACAATGGGGAGGGCGCAAATTAGCAGCGCAACAGGAAAATGGAAAGGGAAGACTTGAATTACAATGGGGGGCGCAAATTAGCAAGCACAACAGTAAAAACGGGAGCTTGGGACTCAAAACGGAGCACGTTCGGCTTCCGAAGCAAAGATCGCAAACCAGAACACCTATTTCCAGGTTTTCTGCATTTGATTTCCAAGTTGTTCATGAACTAAGCTGTTCGAAAACCGAGGTACCACTGTAGTGTGAATCACTATTCCCCACCACCACCAACATAGTGCTCTCTCTTCGTGTGTCATCTAATTGAATATCAACCTTGTCAGCATTTCTGTTTTCATCCCCTTCCATATAGATTCCAACCATGTTAAAGCTCCATCTTTCAACTTGGTCATTCTATCACCAAGACAATTCATACACCCTACATCCCAAGCTGTAGCTTGGTTGGCTTGTGAGGTCTCTGGATTCTCCCCAGCTGAAATATTCATCAGGTGGAAGAAGAATGACACAGACATTGATGTCTCTGAATATATCACAGGGCCTCCAACAGCCCAAGCTGGAAGCCCCACTTTTACCATCCAAAGCATTCTGAAAGTCCCAGCATCTGAGTGGAGAAGCAGAGCCCTCTATTCCTGCATTGTGGGGCATGAGTCCTTAACTCTTATGAAGAATGCCAGTGAGCATTTGTATGGTAAGTCTGGGTTCTGGAGAATGCTTCACTAGCCAATGAAAGAAGAAGGCTTAACCTTGCACAGAAGAAATTGTTGTGTGGGTCACTGCCACTAAAAAAAAGAGTTGAAGAATTGCTCAGCAGCAATTCTCACCACAATGAAGGTTAGTTCATACATGCATGAACTCAATGATCATAACTCAACATTCAGATGAACACTAAACTTCCTCCGTCAAGAAGCAGCACTTCTCTGCTGACTTCGGAGGTAAGATAGCTCTGTCTGTGGTGTTATGGCAGGAATGTGGAGTTTGCAGCAGTCATCAGGTGCTGAACATGTATGTGTGTGTTCATCACTTGGAAACAAGCCTCCATAAGTTGCTTCCATTGAAATCATTGGGAAGAGGAGCTTTACTTCTAAGGAAATGTGTGTACTTCTCAGTGTTCAAACTTTTGCCAGCCCTGTTCATTAACCAGGCACTTGAACTGACAGGGAACTCTGCTCTCTATCCGTGCATGTTCTGTTTTGCAACCAAAAGGTCAACCCTTTCATTTCAGATTTTCTGCAACCAGCTCCCCCGCAGGTGACAGCATTCCACACCTCGGAAGATGGGGGAAGCCAGAAACTTGTTTGCTTTGCTACCGACTTCTATCCCAAAAATATAGACATTGAATGGGCCACCAAAGGACACAGGCTCAGCTGCAGTCCTAACTCATCAGCTCTGGTCCCACTTGGTAATGGGAAGTTCCAGAAGACCTGCAGTTGGGTACTCAGCGGAGAAGAGTGGAGAGAGCCAGAAATCTATACATGCACTGTGAATCACAGCTCAACCAACACCATGATTAAGAAGGACTTGCATCATTCTGGTAAGTCATAATATACAGGTAAACCACATTGAAACCATAAGGAACCCAATCCTAATGGGAAACAGAGTGGCTCTGCAGAGTGCTTAGCCCTTACCACTAAGTAGCCACAATTATCATTATTCATACAAGCTCCTAAGATATCATAGGGAATCGGAGGGCAGAAAGCAAGTTTAAGATACCACTTTTTTATTCTATGCCTTTAACAACTGCATACTAGCTAGAGATAAATGGAAAGAGCAGCAGTTTGCTGATAGTTGTGGCAATTGATTTGATGATCAATTGTGTGCACAGAATAGGGGGTAGTGGTGGGTTGATTGGGGGATGAAGTAGATGTTTGAGGAACGTGGTAACAAACATGCTCAGAGCACTTGACTATATTTCTGAATGTCAAGTCCCTGTTTCCACCCAAAGGTGGTAGAATCAGTTGGACATAATGCTGGGCCACATATTTCTCTCTCTCTCTCTCTCTCTCTCTCTCTCTCTCTCTCTCTCTCTTGAGCTGGTTTCACAAACATACACTTTGTCATTTCCATCTCAAACTGGAAGATTCTTCCATTTTATATAGAACTGGTTATAGCATCCAAATCATAAACTTCTTTTGCTTAAGACTCATGGGCTAGTCCAACACAGGGTTCTCTTGTGGTTGGATTAGTCATTACAATAGGACACCTTAAACCAACAGATAGGGTGATTTCTGAAGAGCACATCTCAAACCCGTTCAATCTGATGATTATTTGTTTTTGAAGGAATGGCCCCACTTCTTAACAAGACAGCTATCAAAATGCAGCCACCGCTCTTTGAAGATCTCTTTATAAACAAAAGTGCCATTCTGACATGCATGATGCCCCTTGCAAATGCAACCATCAACTCAACAGTCAGTTGGACAATGGATGGAGAACCTGCCGACACAAAAGCTGTGACTACCACATTCTTGAACGAAACCAACAGCACTTCTTGGATCTACGGACAACTGCGCGTGAATCTGACTGAATGGAAAACCACTGTGAAGTTCACCTGTAGCATCCAAAATGGCCTAGGAGAAACCAAGCAACACTTTGAGCGAAGGAATGGTGAGGACTTACAAAAAGGGTGGGCAGGAGCATATGAGACACTGAGAGCAAAACAGAGTGATTCAGGAACACACCAAAGTTACTGGAGATTGAGTCAAAGTACTAACCCATTTTGCTCAATATGCTAATTCAGACTGCAGCCAACACAAAATAATATTAAGCTAACACAGCCATCCATCACCTGCATTTAAAGCCACCTGAACACAGGATTGAAGCTACTGATCTTAAAAAATTGTATACGCAATGAAGTTTTACCTCTTTTATGCCAGTTTCATTTTCATGATTTCCACAAAGAATTACAGGTGTTGTACCTTTCAGAATGCTGAAAATACTGAGAGCCACCCCAGTTGTAACAACAACAAATATAATTCCAATGGTTTTCTGGGGAAAGTGAAAGACTGATAAACAGAGTACATTTCAAATATGTCCTTAGTGGTTTCTTCCAACATTTTTTGTTTCCCTTTTTTTAACACAGGCACAATGAAACCCCCAAAAGTCTACCTCCAGCAACAGTCCTCCAATGATGACTTAAATGTAACCTTATTCTGCGTGGTCAGAGACTTCTACCCAGGAGAGATCTTTGTGAAGTGGGAGGAGGAGAAAAAAGGAATGTCACTGAAGGGTTATGATGCTCATGGTCTGAAATGTGACCATGAAAAACAAAGATGTTCCTTAGTGAGCATACTTGAAGTCCCCACAAGCAAGTGGCTGACAGGAGTCTCTTACGCATGCCTTGTAGCACACGTCTCCTCTGAAAACATCACAATCAGAAGAACCAATTCCCTTTCCGGTAAAATACATCTTATCTGCACCTTACCACCAGATAAATTCACTTCATTGCGAAGACAATGTAATTTCCTTGACATCTTGATTTGGCCTGCCTGCTGTCTTCACATCCCGCTAGATGGGATGTCCATTCTGTTATATCACACAATGTTAATGTATCCTGCAGTTCTATATTAAAGTAATAATCAATGAGGTGTTTCTTTCTTTCTTCTTCATTTGCATCTTGTGCCCAATCCAATAACCAGATATAGCTTTTGCACAAAATCCACACTGTATGCTGATCCTCTAAAGATGCCCTAGGAACACTGTTGGTCTTTGTGGGGTCTATATTCAACAAAGAGAAACCAACATGCCTTCAGCGCACCCTTGTCTCTTATTTGTTTCATCGTATATTTGCTGTTGTACTTTGTTCTTGCTTTTTTGAAGACTTTCTCCTTCATCTGTTCTCCAAGGAGTAACCATATCATCTCACCTCATCCTGCAGATTCCTGGGACTGTGCCATCATGGGTGCTGCTCTGTGCGATATCCGCAACGAAAACGAAGATGAGTACAGTGAACTCGAGGAGGCCAACAGCGTCTGGAACAAAGTTTCCACTTTCATGGTCCTCTTCACTGTTGCAATCTTCTATGGGGGACTTGTCACTTTCATCAAGGTAAAAAGGGAACGAGCTAGAGCAACATTTCCCAAACTTGAGTCTCCAGCTGTTGTTGGACTACAACTCCCATCATCCCTAGCTAGCAGGACCAGTGGTCAGGAATGATGAGAATTGTAGTCCAAAAACGGAGACTCAGGTTTGGGAAACCCTGGGCTAGAGTCAAACCTTGGAAGCACCACACAAATGTAGAAGGCACTGGCTTCCTCACTTCTCACCCAACAATTAATTGTGGACACCATCTCTCACGGTCCTAAATCGTTTTGTGTGTGTACATTTGACAAATGTTATTAAGTGTGAGCAAGTGAGGACAAACTTGCATTTGCAGACCTGTGTTAATATGGATATGCACATCTACCTACTTGTTTGACTGCTTAGTGCTGATAGAATGTCCTCTGCCTGTCACAAAATGGACATGAGATCAATTGGCTTCTAACTCGTGGTTCTCCAGCAACAGCAGAACCAATGTCCTAGGTGTCCTGTTCTCCTCCCCAAATCATTCAGATAAACAGCATGGATTGTTTAATCTTCTCCCCACCTCTTCTGTTTCCACAGGTGAAGTAACCTTCCTCCTTATCTCATGATGAAGAATATGCAGAATAAGACCCTGCTTTTTCTCTCCATTATATAGTTCTCTCAGTCTTTTTTCATTATAATTTTTGTCTGCTACGATACAACAAAGCATTAATGTCAGAAAGCATTATCTTCAGTGTTACTTGGTTTGCTTTGGCATCTTTTGCAATAATCGACACAGCCAACTTTGCTTCAAAAAGATGGTTAACAGGTCACTGAAGAAAGCGACCTCAACTTTACATGAACATTATCACAAATAGTAAACAACTTTCTGTATCGATATTGCAAGTGCAACAAACAGCAATTTTGCCAGTGCCGACAATATGGAGCGCAACAATCGTGAAAGAGCTAAACAACAAAGAATAGCATATCAACCATCCATGAGTAATAAAATGAATGATTTATCTTTTCCTTCCAACTATAGCAACTAACGGGTTGCAGAAAACTGGATCTGAGCAGGAGCCATCCAAATTGGTGAAAAGCTCCAAAGCTATTTCGTTGCTCTACACTTTGTATTAATTTTCTCCAAATCCTGAGCCATTATTTCCGCAGCGGCAGTTTCTAGAAGCATTGCCATATTGATATGTTGCCAATTTGCAGCCCAGAGAGCAAGCGTTTAGTCTTAAGTGTACTGATAAAAGCTGTTTTTGCTTTCTAAATTTAAGCCCTTTTGTCCACATTTCCCCCTTACTTGCAATAGAGGACTCCATTATTTGCCCTCCTATAGACAAACAGAAAAATGTGTACAAAATGACTGTGATCAAAAGAGGTCAGATCTGGCACAACCAACCAATAAAGGCCCCTTCCTTTATCACCATGTTTAAAGAGAGGAGCCTGATAAGCAAAGAGGTTTTCATGGGTGGCAGCAAGCACACGCCCTTTCCAAGGCTATTGATTTCTACTGGAGAGAGTTCTGGGCATGTTTAAATCTCCAGCAGTCAAATCAATGAAGATTAAAAGTTCTCAGCTTTTTATCATTCCCACTTGGCTTGCATAGTGCAAAATATCAGCCAAAGTTTCCCTGTGTTGTGTTGAATTACTTTTCATGGTTGCATTAGTTTCGTGTTTGAGAAGTGTTGAAACTTTATCCTGTCACATTTGCATTACATTGTCCTCTGCTCCTGGACCACAAAGCAGCAACAATTATAACTTGAGTTTTCCTAGGATCACAGTCCAGCTAAAAAAGAGATTTATCGCTGCTGTTGATCAGCCATTTGGTGCTAATCAGCTGCTTAGCATGGTCATAGCTAACTGTATGAACCACTTTGCATTAGCAAACTGATTGGACAGATAATTAATAATAATAATCTGGCTCAAGTTTTCAGTGCTATTCAGCTGTTAAAGCTCACAGCACTAAATGGTTGCTTTCTTGAACTATGATTGTTCAGCGGGTAGATGCTGTCTCTTATTAACCAAGGTGTCTTTCTGGTGCATATGTTATCAGAGTTGTCGTACACATCAGCCGTGTTTGACTGTAGTTTACTAAACTGCCAGCACTGTGCAGCCATCACGTTATCAGACTACCACCCTCCCGTATCGTTTGCCATAATGTGTTACTATAATCTGTATAAAAGCAATGCATTGTATTGTATTCTATTGCACTGTACCAATTTGCATTGATTTATAGAATGAACCTAAGAATGCACAGTGTAAACATTATACTATAACATCCTTGTGTTTGGTGCTGAGTTTGTCTATATTAATTTCTGTCCTCATATTGCTTCTGATTGTAATAATTTTGCCTTGTATGCTATTGCCCTCCATTGTATAAGTCTTCATTCAATTTAGACATATCAAAACTCAGCTGCTACATAAACTTCTATTAACCATGCATTGTTGTCGATTCTCAGTCTTCTTCAAAGCACTGGACACACCCATTGGGACACAAATGCCTCTTTTCAGGGATTCCCCTAAAACAAGGATGGGGAATCTTTTTCACGCTGAGGGCCACATTTCATTCTGGGCAACCTTTCAAGGGCCACATGTTAGTGGTGGGCAGGGCCACAGGCAAAAGAGCAACAAATGAAAATGTTACCTTTGTACAGTAGACTAGCTTCTACGCATACTCACATACCTGCCTTTATTCTCCATCTGAGCAACCAAGAGATCAAGGCACATTCAAGGTGGGCAAAACAGCCCTGGAGAGTGCAAAGCAGTGAAGGGGGTGGCCTGGGGAGGGGGTGGTGCTTGGGAGGGAGTGTGGTGTAGGGAGAGTTCAGAGGGCCAAGCAGAAACGCTTGGAGGGCCACATTCAGACCCCAGGTCTGAGGCTTCCCAACTCCAGCCTAAAATGTCTCTGCTGTATGTAACTCACCATGGACTAGTGGTTAACTTTTAACATACCAGAGCTGCATGCCACTCCAATCTTTGAGTGGTGCAAAATTCAATGGTTCATCTTTCCTTTAAGGAATGAGGAACAGTGGAAACTATGGTGTTTTTACAATATATTGTTTAATAATAATAATAATAATAATAATAATAATAATAATAATAATTTATTATTTGTACCCTGCCCATCTGATTGGGTTCCTCCAGCCACTCTGGGCGGCTTCCAGCATATATAAAAACATAATAAAACAATAAACCTTAAAAAAGCTTTGCTATACAGGGCTGCCTACATATGTTTCCAAAATCTCCTTAACATCTGATGGGCATTCCACAGGGTGAGTGCCGCTACCAAGGAGGGCCTTACACACATATACAACCTGAGCCTACAATGGAAGGGTACACAGCATTGGCACTTCAAGAGGGTCTTGCTTCTCCCAATCTACAACTGTAGATTCCAAAAAGAAACCAACAATCGCACTCTAAGCCTCTCTCCAACCTGCCGCTTTTACCAGACTGCAACCTTTTTTTCTCTATGTCACACCCCAGCCAACTCTAAATACTCTACCTCAGGGAAGTTCCCAACAAAAAAAATCAGTATAAAAACCACAAAAGTCATAATAAAAATAAGAACAAAAACAAACACAGTTAAATGGGCATCACATGTCAATCAGCCAAAGGACTGGTTGAAGAGGAATGTTTTTGCCTGGCACCAAAATGTGTGTAATGAAGGCACCTCGTGTTGAAACCCTCCAAGCCTCTTATGGAGGAGGCACACAATTCAGGGCCTCAGAGGATGACCTCAGGGTCTGGTTAGGTTCATATGGAGAGAGGCAGTCCTTGAGGTATTGTGGCCCTGAGCCCTAGGCTTGTGCCTCATTTATCCTTCAGAGTACCACATACAGCCTTTTCCAAGGCTTATCCAGTTTCAGGCTCCTGTCCCTTTTTCCTTTTGGGTTGTAAAACCTTACAAGGTTTCACAAAGTTTAACTCAAAGCAGCACAAGGTCAGGGTCATTGTGAGAAATGAAACGTATGGTGAGATCCAGCGACCTAATGTTGCTTAGAGTGCTGGTCTAGAATACATACATACATGTGTGTATATGTATATGTATATGTATATGTATATGTATATGTATATGTATGGAGGGAGCTGGGGTCAATAGAGGCACCAGATGAAAAGTGGGAAGGACTCCTGCATACACAACAAGAGGAAAGAATTTCAACAGGTACAACCTGCATGAAATTTCCACAACTATCCTCTCTCCTACACAACCTTTAGTGGTTCAGGTGCCCTGCACTTTTTCTTGCCTGGCCACCCTATTCATGAGACATCCTTACAGTACCTTGCAGCTGCCTCAGGATACCGGATACTGACACCAAGAGAAATCTACATGGTGCCTTCCAAATATTGTTGGGTTACAATTCCCACCATCTCCTGGTCATTGGTGATGCTGTCTGGGGCTGATGGGAGTCAATAACATCTGGAGGGCTACCCTTGCTGTAGACATTGCTAACACTGGAGCAGCTTCAGAACTTGCCTCCAACCTTGGTTTACACTCTCATTACTGAGGATTGGGGGGTGGGGAGCAGTGGCTGGCTCTGTCAGTCTATACACTGTAGGCAAAGGCATGACATTCTGCCCCATCCCAGTTTGAGCTGTGTCTCAGTTTCCTCTGGTAGATCTGCTCAATTCATAGAGTGTGCGGCTCATACAAAATCAGCAAAACATGGTTGCTGCTTTCTCAGGCACTAAGATACCCACCATTTGTTATCTGAAGTTGACTCAGAACACATCAGTGTGAGTTGCTATTCAAAGCCCCACACATCATATCTGTCCATCCCCTTCTGACCACCAGCACTCGCCTTTGGCTCAAAGGGGAAACACCAGTTCACAGCTGTTGGTGAAAACAGGTTGCATCTGTTCTCAGGATGACTCATCAAAATGTCAGTGGGGGCCTTTCAGTCTTACCTATATTGTGATCAACAACAAACCATTAGGAGGGACATTCATGCCATGGTTTTCAGCCTCACTGCACTTCAGCCACACATCCCTACCCTGAAAAACAATGTGCAATAGATTAGAGCTGGAAGGACTCTATTGAACATTGTTGTTGTTTAGTCGTTTAGTCGTGTCTGACTCTTTGTGACCCCATGGACCAGAGCACGCCAGCCACTTCTGTCTTCCACTGCCTCCCACAGTTTAGTCAAACTCATGCTGGTAGCTTTGAGAACACTGTCCCACCATCTCATCCTCCGTCATCCCCTTCTCCTCGTGCCCTCCATCTTTCCCAGCATCAGGGTCTTTTCCAGGGAGTCTTCTCTTCTCATGAGGTGGCCAAAGTCTTGGAGCCTCAGCTTCAGGATCTGTCCTTCCAGTGAGCACTCAGGGCTGATTTCCTTCAGAATGGAGAGGTTTGATCTTCTTGCAGTCCATGGGACTCTCCAGAGTCTCCTCCAGCACCAGAATTCAAAAGCATCCATTCTTTGGCGATCAGCCTTCTTTATGGTCCAGCTCTCACTTCCATCTATTGAACATAACATTAATCAAACGTGGGAGGGATATTTTAACTGCTTTCCAGAAAGAAAAATAGTAACCTCTCATCAGCACAATGACCATATGGTTAAGGTGCCATCCCCAGGCCCCATAAATTGTACATGTGTCTT